TCCCTGTCTTATCAGCACTGTTTTCAGCGCAAATCCAAAACACAGCCCCATACTAGCTACTGTGAAGAAAATTAACTCTATCCCAGCCAAAACCAGCACAAATAATTAGTCTTTGTGTCCAACTGGTAAAACAGTACAAAACGCGAAGATACTTTGGACTTTTTTGTCCTATCACTGCTTTCTGAAAAATCCACCAGGCCGCTTTAGTCACTATGAACAACCAGCCCTACAAATTCTCCTGCCATTCCAGCCTGAAGCCTGGGCCTGCCTCCAGCACAGTCCTCTCTCTAGACTTGCACATCTGCCCATGTCTGTATCTCATTGTATTTTCTTGCAGCTCCAGCCTTCCTTCCCAAAGACAGTATTCACAAGGAATTTGTCCGAAGCTTTTTTCTCAATTACTTCATCCATTCCTGCATGTCCTTTTACAGGCGCTCCTCTGTGCCTTACATAGCCCGTGCCTCACCCATCTCGTCACCCCAGGCTAGTGTTCAAGATGCTGACCCTGCCTGTTTGTCCAAATTTTCAATAAATATCCCTGCACTTTTTCTCGCACCACTTCATGGCCCCGGGAGAGTCTTCCCCGCAGGTCTGCAGATGCAGCACAGGGCCCTCTTCCAGCTCCTCCATGAAACTCGTTGCTCCCTGCCAAAACACCACCAGTTGAACAGCAGGCGGTTGCACTCCTGTTGGGTTGTGCTTCCCTGCCCGCTGGCGTTTTTCCCCCGGTGGTACCGGACCTGACTTCTCCATTTCTGTATTAACTGGTAGGTTCTTCTGCAGTGCAACTACTTAAATGCTCCCAGTGAAACGCGTGTTTGATTTGCGTGCTGCTACCCTGCTGACCTGGGCTGCCTGTTGCTCTCAGCGTCCCTCTGATGTTCCCTATTTCTTGGTCTAAATTTTGTGTTGACTGCCAACTGTCTCTCTCTGCCTCAACACACTTTCTCGCCCGCTGCCTCCTAGGTAGTGGCCTTCAGCCTTGCCCTCGTGTGCTGTTTAAACCAAGTCAGCATTTCTGACTTTGCTTCCCCACCAGTGGATTCATGGCATCTCCCATGATACAGTCCAGCGCTGTGGACTCCCTGTTCCTTCCACATCCGCATCAAACATCTTTCACTTAACTGTCCCGTGCTGCTTCTTGGAGCTGCTTGCACAGGCTGGAGGCAGAGCGTGTGGGCACCCAAACTAGGTCAAAAGCGTTTTAGGAACTGATGTAGTGCATTACGAGACACCCCTGTCCACGTGTCTGCTGTGAGTCCGTCAGAGAGCCCGAATAAACTTGCAGGCTGTGACTTCGTTTAAAAAAAGCTATGTTAATCCGTGTGCAACAACTCTCATTTCTCAAGGTATCTGATTCACAATATTTTTGCAGTTGGCTTGGTACACAAGTCAGACGAAGTGACTCCCCCAGAACTTCCTTTGTAACAACATTTGGCACTTTCCATTTTTATGGCGCTGAGTCTGACTCAAGTTTACAGCCACCTTTTTGGTCAAATTCCTGTCTGAGATGCACGGGGAGTCCACTGCCGTGCACTGGTTTGCTCAGCTGACTCAACCATCAGAGTGACAAAAATCCCTTTCATGCCTTGTCTCGTTCAGTTCAACAGCCTCCATGATACTTTCTTTCCATTGCTCCTTTATTACAGGTTTTTCCAAATTGGAAGTCCTGGCTTCATTCCTGTT